GGGTGGGGGATGGGATGGGGAATGGGATGGGGGATGGGGGCCGCAGCCATCCCCCTCTCCGGTACCCAGTGTAGGTCACAATAATTTAAAGACATTATAGACATTTCAACGCTATATAACAACATAAGTTAACCAGGTTCCTTGCAGAGCGTGCCGGGCCTACAGACTCCAGGGGCGTTCTGGGACTTGGGGAAGGTGACCCGATGGGGCCAGGCTGAGGGTGGGGCATTCAGGGTGGCCTGGAGGCTTGGAGGGTCCAGGCGTGGTTAGGGGCACATGGGTGGGACCACAGGGCTGGGGCCCAGGAGGAAGTCACTTGCCCCAGGCGGAGTCCAGTCTGCTTGGCTTGTCGGCTGCTCAAGAACACATTTCCAGGAGAACACGCCCTAAACCGGGGCCAGGCCTCGGGCAGTGGAGGCCGCAGCAGGAGCCAGCTGCAGACCGTCCTCTCTGGCCTTGGATGAGGAGTTCCTCCCTCTGTCACTTAAGCTCCTCAGAAACATGCTTGGAAGTGTCTAGAAAGGACACGACCTTCTCTGGATCCAGATTTTCTCAGCATCAGGATCAGGGTAAAAGGACCAGGACAAGGCTATGCAAACCCTCAAAGGCACCGAGGGGGGTGCAGACCCCAGTGAGGCTGTCGGGGGTGGAGGGAGCAGCTGAGTACTTCAAGGCATGGGAGTCACCTCCTGCCACCCTGGAGGTCCCGCTGTGCTCTCCCGGGTCAGAGCCCCAGGCTGGGCAGGAGCCAAGGTGCGAGGCTCTGCTCGAAGCTGCAGGGTCTCTGGCAGGTTCTTCTGCCACTCGGGCCTCAGAGTCCCCATCTGTCACATGGGACAAACATCCCTGACCACAGGTCCCCTGCCTGCCCACCCCTGCCTGCACTGTCCCACGGGTCAGGCTGGCTCCAGGGGGAAGGGGGGCCTATAAACTGGAGGTGCCAGGCTGGGAGGGAGACAGGATGAGGGCAGGGTCGAGGTACTCCTGGAACCTGACGTGGGTGACATTTTGATTTGCTTGACATTATTTTCTCTTTTTTTTTGAGACAGAGTTTTGCTCTGTCACCCAGGCTGGAGTGCAATGGCATGATCTTGGCTTGTTGCAACCTCCACCTCCCAGGTTCAAGCAATTCTCCTGCCTCAGCCTCCCGAGTAGCTGGGACTACAGGCATGCACCATCATGCCCGGCTAATTTTTGTATTTTTAGTAGAGACGGGGTTTCACCGTGTTGGCAAGTCTGGTCTGAAACTCCTGACCTCAGGTGATCTGCCTGCCTCAGTCTCCCAAAGTGCTGGGATTATAGGCGATCCCGGCCATCGATAGGATTTTCAAAAGAAGGGAAAACGGCCTGGAAGGGCCTGTCCATGGCTCTCTTCCAAGGCCCGGTCAGGGCTGTGTGGTCCGCCGAGCCTCTGCCCAGGTCACTCCTAGGACCCACAGGCACCTTGTGGTCCCCACCAACCCCAGGCTGCCTCAGCTCTGCAGGGGCAGAGGGCTGGCGGGCAGGGCCGGGAGAGAAAACAGGGTGGCGAGGGCATGGGCTGACATGGAGCACGGAGTTAGGACTGGCTACAAATTCGTGCTGAGAATCCTCTTCTGATACTAAGAAAACATAAATAATTTGTGTCAACATCTGTCCCCACTGCCCCCGGGCCCAGTGGCAGACCCGGCCTGGGAAATGGTCTGGAGGGGCCAGCCAGCGTAGCTGTTCTGTGTCTGTGCCGCCAGGTGGGGCAGGGGACACTCAGTCTCGTCGTCACTTTGCTCTCTGGGATACAGTGTGCCCTGGAGGTTCACTTTCCCAGAGAGAAGAAAGGGAACTTGCTGGGCTCCGGCAGGGGAGCACCGGGACCCGTGGCCTTGCTCTCTTGGTGGGTCGCGGGGGCTGTTCTGCCACAGGAGGTGGGAGGAGGTGGCAGGAGGGAGCCCCAGGGAGGCGGGCAGAGGACGTGGACCCTGGCCGGTGCCCTCCTGCACCTGGAGCTCCCTGCTCTGCACCCGCCCCTGCCTGCCGCTGGCAGCACCAAGGCAGGGAAGGCAAGGATGTGTGGAATGCCGCGGGGTGGCTGGGCTGCCCGCAGGGCCTCCGGGCGCGCCGTCACTTGCAGGTGAAGACCTCGGTGCGCTCGCTGCAGCTGTTGCATTTGACGAAGCAGCACCAGTGGAATTTGCAGTTGCACTGCCACACCTTGGTGTACTGGTGGGTGTTGTAGCCGCGGCCGCAGCACATGGTGTCACAGCCGTCCGCGCCCAGTGAGGTGCGGTTGCAGAGGCGGCCCTGTGTGCCCACGCTGCCTGTGGCTGCGTCCTCCTCGCAGTAGTTGGGCGACTTCTCGATGTACACCAGCTCCGTCTCCATGGGCTTCTGGTAGCTGCGCAGCTGCTTGATGCGCAGGAAGGTGGGCTGTCGCAGGCGGCTGGCCCGCACCACCTCCACCTGCACAGCCGCGTTGTACTTCTCCTTCAGCAGGTGGCCCACCTCGCGGAATTTGGGCAGCGTGGTCCAGCAGGTCTTGGTGGTGCAGGAGCCAGACACGCCGTGACACTTGCACTCCAGCTGCATCCGGTCCTCCAGAACCTGCGGGCGACAGGAAAGCTGCTCGACATGGCACGGCCTGAGCTGGACCCCCTCCGAGGTTCCCTACCCCTGCCTCCAGCCCCACCCGGGAGCCCGCTCCTCCACTTCGGGCTGTGTGACCGCAGGTAAGTGTCTCACCCTCCCTGAGCCTCAGCCTCCTCACCCATTCCACGGGGCTAACACTAGGTCTCCACCGCACAGGACGTTGCGAGGGTGCGATGAGACTGTCTGGGACGTGGCAGAGCCCGCTGTACGTTTATGGAGCTGTTCTGTGAGCCTCTCGCAGCCCTTCAAGGAGATGCTATGGCTTCGTCATGCACTGGTGAGGAACTGAGGCTTGGGGGCTGTGGGACTCGCTGCAGGTCACAGGCAGCAGGGCGGTAGGCCCAGCAACAGTAGGTGCTTAATAAATGCGTGTTACCACCCCTCACCACCATCTCTCCCTCTTCCCATCCTCAGACTTGGCGTAGGCCTGGCATGCAGCTGGTGGTTAGCAGATGGCTGTGTAATGGAAGCCTAGAGTGTCTGTGGCCCTCGGCGCACGTTTTCCCGAGGCCCCGGCGTGCTGAGAAGCCGAGAAGCCGACAGCCCCGGTCCGCCCGCTGCTGTTCTTTCTCCCCGCGCTACCAGGGCCCTCCACGGGTGCAGCCAAGTGTTTTCCTTGGGCCTCCCTCCACGGCCCCGGAAGGCTGATTCCCAGAGCCAGCCCTGACCCCAGGTACTCATTTACCCGGATCGAAAGGGCCCTGCCAGCCGGGCCTGATTGAAGATGGGGAATTATTAGCTGGCGCCCTGCGGCTGCAGAGGAGCCATTTGTCAGTTGTCAGAGCTCTGCTGGCCTCACTCAGCAGCCCAGCCCTGCCAGGGCTTGGCCACCCTCTGTCCCCCGCACCAGAACTCGCGGTCATGGGGCACCTGCTGTCAGCCCCCAGCTCTGGCCCAGTGGAAAAGTCCCCCAGAAAATGAACGAATGAATGAGTGCAAGAAAAAGAGGGAGAGAAACAGCCCCACCGAGGTGGCTGCTGCCCCAGGCACCTTCCTTGGCCCGGCTGCATGAGGTCCTGTGGGGCTCGAGGTTCAGCATGGGACACGGAAAAGAAGGCGCTACAGGAGCCCAGGAGAGCCTAATCCTGCTAGCGATGGTGCTTGAGGTAGGGCTTCCTGGAGGAGGTGTGGGTATTGATGGATGAGTCAGAGCTCGTTAGACAGAGGACAGTGACCCAGGACGGGTTCAACATGAGCAAAAGACTGGAGATCACTGAGCAGGAAGGAGAAGACTGGGCCCAAAGGCTCATCAACGGGGTGCTGGGTGGGCCCTAGGCTGGTGGCCTGGAGCTGGGGGTGTTCTCGGCTCTGCATCAATGATGCCCTTGGGCAAAGACTGGAGAGGCTGGGAGGAGGTGGGAGAGGGAGGCTGATGCCCCTCCCAGGGGACGGCTGAGGGTAGGAAGATCCCAGGTGTCCTAAGAGGATGGGGCAGCTTTGGGGAGCTGCAGGACTGGGAGGCTGAGCTGAGGTCATGGGCCAGAGCCTGGGCTGGGTGTCTGGGCGACCTGAGCGTATACTAGGAGCTCCTCCCTGCCTCCTGCTCCTCTCCCATCCTGTCCATCACCCCAGCTCCCTGTTCATCTCTGCTGGGACCTGTCCCCTCCTCGAAAAGCCCCTCCCTCCACTAACCTGCCCTTCAAGCCTGGAAGCTTCCCTGGCCCTGGCCACACAGACTGCTGGGATACTACCCAGGCCAGGTGCCACCCCAGGAGCTGCCCTGATGCGGCCCCTCACAGAGTTCCCAGCTGGGGGAAGTTCACCCCCTACCCCAGCTGCTCACCCTCCTCAGATGGGCCTGGATGTTTGGAGAGCTGGCAGGCCTGTCCAGACGAGAGAGTGTGCAGGCCACAGGGTCCAGCCCAAGCTGCCATCTAGTGCTCCTGCTGTGGCCCAGGATGGCTGCCGCGACACTGTGTTCTGCATCCCTGCCCCTCCTCCCTGCCCTGCCCCGTCTCCTTGTCTTCATCAAGGCCCGGGAGCCCGGTCGCACGCCACTGCCCGCCTGGGAACAATTGGCCCCACAGATAAAGCTGACTGAGCTGCTGTTTGCAGAGCGAGGGGCCACATCCTTGCTTGGCTGGGTCCCCTGGGCCACAGCCTCTCCCAGGAAGTGATTGCAAGGTTCAAGAATGTGCCTTTTCCTTCTCCAGAGCCCTGGGCATTCGAGTGACAGCACCGGTGGTGCCAGCACTGAGACGGGCCCCTGCCCCCAGAGACCACCTGGCAGGGCACAGAGTGAGCCCATCTTACTCAGAGAAGGTACAGGCAGCAGCAGGGGCCGTTCCTCCAGGCCTTGGTTCCTCCTCAACTCTGGGGGCTTGGTTTGGGGGGTGAACTGGGGGGGCTCCAGGAGACGGCTGATTCAATGTTCTTTCCAGAATAAAGGTGTAGCCTGGGCTCTGGAAACAGTGCTCAGTTGCAGCCAAGCAGGGGAGTCCACCCACCCATCCTTCCATCCATTCCAACCACTCATCCATCCACCCTTCCATCCACCCATGCACCCACTCATCCATCCACCTACCTATCCACCTGTCTTTTCACCCATCCTTTCATCCACCCATCCATGCACTCATCCATCTACTATCCACCCATCCTTCCATCAGTTCCTACACTCATCCATCCATCCAGCCAGCCATCCAGCCATCCACCTACCCACTCACCCATCCTTCCATCCACCCATCCTTCCATCCACCCATGCATCCACTCATCCATCTACCTACCCATCCACCCATCCTTCCACCCATCTTTTCATCCATCCATCCCCTCATCTACCTATCTACCCATCTTTCCATCCATTCATCCACTCATCCATCCATCCTTCCATCCACCCATGCACCCACTCATCCAACCTATGTACCCATCCTTCCATCCACCCATGCACCCACTCATCCAATCTATGTACCCATCCATCCATCCATCTATCCATCCACTCATCCACTCATCCCTTCCTCATCTATCCATCCACTCATCCACCCATCCCTTCATCATCCATCCATCCACTCATCCATCCATCCACCCACTGACCCATCCTGTCATCCATCCTTCCATCCACCCATGCATCCATCCATCCAGGCATCCACTCAACCATCTACCCACCCATCTATCTATCTATCTACCCATCCATCTATCCTCCCATCCACTCATCTATCCATCCATCCACCCACCCACCTACCCATACCTCTGTCCATACTTCCACCCACCCACCCATTCACCCATCTATACACTCATCCATCTACCCATCCATCTTTTTATCTATCCATGCATCCACTCATCCATCTACCCATCCATCTTTTTATCTATCCATGCATCCACTCATTCATCTACCAACCCATCGATCCATCCATCCATTCACCCATCCACCCATCCATCCATCCATCCATTCACATCCACCCATCCACCCATCCATCCATTTATCCATTCATCCACCCCTCCACCCATCCATCAATCCTGCCATTCATCCATCCACCCATCCATTCATCCAACAATAACTTAATAACCACTTGCAAGTAACCTCCACATCTACAAGAGAAAGTCAAACCGCTGGCCCTGCTTGCTTCCCAAGCCCTGTGGCCTTCAAGGCCCCACTCTGACACTGTCCTAGACTCCCAGGCCCTCACCGTCCTGGGTGTGACCACTGCACCCCTCATGTGGACCCAGTTCCCACAGCCAGGCCCCTGTGTGGTTCCTCTCTGCCCTGTGCTCAGCCTAGCACCTGGCATAGAAAAGGGCAGTGGGTGACCGGTGGCCTCAGCTATGGTCCCTGGGGCCGAGGGATTCTTCAACTCCTCTTTGCCTGGAAAGGCAAGTCTGTCCCACACCTGAGGAGCACCCTAGGCCCTGCTGCCCTTGGTAGAGCCCCAGGCCTTGGAGCCAGAGTCGGCGGGGCGTTCCACTTGGCTGGCTGCCCTATCTCAGGCCATCTTGCCGCCGTGCGGCTGCTCCTCCCAGCCCAGTATCTGAGGCCCTCATCTCCAGCGGGCGGGGCCCAGCTCTCTTTGACTTCTTCCCCAGTGTGTCCCTGCCTGGATTTCCTCCACTGTCACCTCCCCACACCCCCCGGCCCCATGCAGGAGCTGCCTGCTCCCCAACAGCCCCCAGCTCACAGCGTCCACCTTCCTCAGGCGGCTCCTGCCTCCTGGGGGCATCCCTTCCTTGCTGAGTAAGACTGCCTCTGCTAGGAAGTCTTTCCTGGTGTGCTGATGTGACCTCTGGGACCAGGAATGCCAAGGGCAGAGACATGGGCTGTGGCCTGGGACATCCCCTCACCCGGGGTCCCCAGCTGAGCCCAGCTCACACCCTACATGGAAATGGGGTCCCTGTCTCAGCTGGGGGCTGTGAGCATGGCTTCAGCACTCAGAGCCTCGGCTCTCACATCTCTGGATGGGACTCCTCCAGGTGTTGGGAGGCTCAGAGCCACACACGTGGAGGACCCCGACGGCCCCGCCTGCCACACACCTGCGGGGACTCAACCGCTTCCGCTAGAAGAGGAGCCCGAGGCTCCGAGAGGTCCGCAGGTGATAGCGGCTCCAGCTGATGCCCCCACCGGCCACACCCACACCCTACCTTCCTGCCAGCCTCATTGTTGTGCAGGTTCATGAGGCGCCGCGCATTCTTCTTGATCTCCCGCGCGTCCACAAAGCGCCGGGAGAAGTCGATGCCGTAGCGCACGTCGGCCGAGCAGCCGCCCCACTTCCAGCCCTCCGCCTGGTTGTAGTAGCCCTGCTTCTCACGGTCGCAGCCGCAGTTGCTCAGGTTGCCTTGGCTGCAAGCCGCGGTGACCGCATGTGCTACGCCAGCCGCGGTGATGGCGTACGTGAAGGCAGCCTCCCGGCTCCCTGCAGGGACAGACAGGTGCAGAAGGTGAGGCCCCAGGGCCCCGGGCAGGGTCGGTTCAGGGGACGGGATGCCAGGTCTCGATCCACCTGGTGTTGGCTGTCTGTGTGACCCTGGGATCATCGCTTGCCCCCTCTGAGCCTCGGACTCACCAAAGTGGGGCTGATGGGAACCACCTCTCAGGGCTGTGGTGGGGGCAGTGCCTGGTATACAGCAGGCTCCAGTGCACCCTGTGACCCGCCACCCTGCCCCCAGCATGCAGTGCCGCCTCCGGCTTCTCTTCCTGTTCCCAAGACTCTGGGCAGGAGAGGCCCAGTTTCTCCAGCCCTGGAAGTGAGCAGTGGGGAACCGTGGAAGGGGACAGGACTCTATGGCTCTGCCCCTCCCCTCTGCCAGCCTCCCAGGAGCCCCTCCTCATGGACGGGCATTTGCAATGACCCCCGTGGGGACCAGGCGTGCATGGCCAATGGAAGCTGGAGCCACAGGGAGCATGGGGGTCCTCACTCCCACCCTCAGCCAGGACCCAGGCAGAAGTCACGCTGCTCACAAGCCCTTTGTTCCCATCCCCTCTCTGCCCACCCACCTTCAGTCCATCTCCAGACCCTGGAGCCCTTTTCCTCACCTCCTCCCAACACCCCTGCCTGGCCCAGGGACCCCGGCACTGCCTGGACTTGGGCAGCAATCCTCCCTGCCTCCCTCATCCCCCCAGCCACCAGCTGGCTCACTCCAAGGCAGTCTGGGCAGGGCCCTTGCTGGCACCTTTGCAGCTCCCCTCTGCCAGTGGAGCCAAGCCCACGGCTGGGCTGGGAGGGGAGGGTCCCAGGTCTATGTCTGCTGGCTGCCCCAGCCCTCTGTCCCCATCCTCTGCCCAGAACAATGATTAAGCTGGGCACGGCAGCTCACACCTGTAGTCCCAGCACTTTGGGAGGCCAAGGCAGGCAGATCACCTGAGGTCAGGAGTTTGAGACCAGCCTGACCAACATGGTGAAACCCCATCTATACTAAAAATACAAAAATTCCCCTGGTGTGGTGGCAGATGCCTGTAATCCCAGCTACGCAGGAAGCTGAGGCAGGAGAATCACTTGAACCCGAGACACAGAGGCTGCAGTGAGCTGAGATCATGCCGCTGCACTCCAGCCTGGGCAACAGAGTGAGACTCTGTCTCAAGAAAAAAAAAAAGAGTGCAGAAGGGCCCCCAGTGCAAGCGAGGGCGGCTGGTGGGGGTGTTACCATGAGGGCGGACAGGATCAAGTAGAAGGAGTTGTCTCAGCCACAGGTGGCCCAGGTAGCCAGGGATGGCGGGAGGGAGGCGAGGGGCAGGTAGGAACTCGAGCCTGGCACCAAGTAGATGTCCCAGCCTTGCCCAGCCCCCACCTCCCAGGGCCAACTCGCTGTGGAACTGGAGCTTGTGCTCCATGACCTGGCCGAGACCCTCACTCCTCGGGCCTCAACTTCCCCATTACCACGGGATGAGGCCTGGTGTCGAGGGCTCTTTAAAATCCCTCTAGCAGGGGAGCTTTTGTGTGATAGATTTTCCTGAAGAATAGGTCAGAGGAGGGACACAGTGGGGTGGGGGTCCCTGAGGCCGGGACAGTGGGACATGGCTGGCTGGGGAGCTCCTTGGTTATCTGAGCCCCCGTCTGCCCCCTACCCCACCAGGTCCCCAGGCTCCTCACAGCCTAGAGCTGGATGGGGAAGTTCAGTGCCCTGTCCCCAGTTCACTGATATAGAGATTGGTGAGGAGACACCCCCGGGCCACACCCGCAGCTCCTGGTGTTACCCAGCCCAGCTGGTGCGGTGCCCGTGTCCAGGCTGGGGGCCTTGGTCTAGACAGGCCTTGCAGTGGCCATTGGGCACGAGAGCTGGTCGAGAAGCTCAGGGCCCAGGTGGGGCCCTGCAGTGGTCCCCTGTGACTGTCCATGCCCCAGCTTGCCCTTTGACCCCAGCCTGCCCTCAGTCACAGGGGGCAGCTCCCTGCCTGAGCCAGTCTGGCATCTGCATCCCTGACACACACACAGCTCAGGCTGGGGACATCGGGGTGGAGGCAGGGACCGTGGCATGGGCAGAGAGGCCTCCAGGCCACAGCTCGGCCCCAGTCACTGCTTGTGCAGCTGAAGGATCAGAAGCCCAGAGCCCTAGCCTGCCTGCCCAGCGGCAGTCCTGGCCTGGACCCCCGGGACCAAGGGGAGCTCTGGCCAGGGAGGGCTGGGCAGGTTGCCCCACACCCTGCACCTAATCCTGCACCTTAAACGAAGGTGACAGCAGCATGCATCTCAAGGGGTCCTACGTGGGTGAGCTGAGGCAGCAGCGGGCTCAGGACCAGCAGGAACATGAAAGTGCTGGGTGCGTGTGGGCCGCTTTTATTCATGTTGCCCATCTCCGAGCAGGCCTGGTCCCTGGGCCCCACCGTCCTGGCCTGGTGCAGCCTGAGTGGGTGCTGTGTGTGTGCATGCGTGTGTGTGCAATGCACATGTATGTGTGCACGTGCACTTGTGTACATGTGTGTGCATGTGTGCACACGTGTGTGCATGTGTGCTTGTGCATGCATGTGTGTGAGGGGGTGTGTGCGTGTGTGCATGTGAGGGTGTGTGTGTACATGTGTGTGAGGGTATAAGTGTGTGCATGCGTGTGTGCCAGGTGTACTGCTCTCTTTCTTTATGTCTCTCTACACGTCTCTGTCCTTCCCTCTCTGTTTCTCCTTCTCCCTCTGGGTCCCTCTGTCCCTCTCTGTCCCTCTCTGTCCCTCCGTCTCTCTCCAGCCCTGCCCGGCCCCCGCCCCAGCTTAGGCTGAGTCAGCGTCTCCACACTAAGCTCTTCCCTGCCGTTGTCATAAACAGATCATTGGAAAAAGTCATGCCAGGTCCAAACACGCCAGCGCCCGCGCGCCTCAGGCCTTTGTTCCGACCCAGCAGAGGCCCTCACACACCAAGGGGCAATCCCCCAGGTGGGAACAGCAGGCTCCGAGTGGACAGGACCTGGTCCTCTGGGAGCTTTCTCCCAGTCCCGAGGCATGAGGGAGCCGGGGAGGCCCCTCCTGTGTCCAGCCCAGGGTGGCCTGCCCTCAGGAGTGCTCTGGCAAAGCCAGCACCCGCCTGTGTCAGGTGGCACAGAGACCCCTTCCTCCCTGGGGCTGCCCCAGGACTTCCTGACACCTGGATCCTGGCGGGCAGTTCCCTGACAGCCTGTGGGCTCCTCGGGCCCTCAGGGCCGCATGGCCTTGGGTGGGTCACATGGTCTCTTTGCGAGCTCAGGCTCCCCTTCTGTGATGCATGGACCACAGGCCCCGAGGTGGCCATGTGACAATTCCCAGCCCAGGCAGGGCCTCAGGATGGGCTCCAGCCATGAACAAAACGATCCTCCCAGAAGGGTGGCAGGAATCAGGCTGGGTGGCGGCTGAGGGCCGGGCCAGCTGTGTCCCCGTGAGGCAGAGGGAGGGGCCCTACCCACCCTGGGCTCTGTGTCCTGCCTCCATGGCCTAGGGCCCTGGAGTCTTCACCCATGGAACCCCTGTGGGAAGCTCTGTGGGGACCTCCCTGTCCCCATTCTGAGGAGAGACCCAAACCCTGGCAGAGTCCCAGCCCGTCTCAGCCCCTCCTGGGGCAGGTGGGGCACCAAGGCCCCCAGGGCACCCGGCTGCACCCAGGGTCACACAGTGGGACCCAGGCAGGTGGGGCCTGTGTCCTTGGCAGTGGCCTCTCCATGGCTGGACCCCATCCCCACCCCACTCTTGTCCCGTCTGTCAGGGCCCTGCCCAGGAGGATGGAAAATTCCTAACTTGGACGAGTTCCAGGTGGCCTTAGAGGGGCCATGTGGAAGGATCTGGGACCGGAGGACCAGCCACTGCCCAGCCCACAGGGGCTCCATGCCACCCCCAGGAAGGGCCATAGCTCCTCAGGTTCCATCCTCCTGGGCACCAGTGCACTGCCTTCCTGGGGAGGGGTGGCCCCGGCTCATCCCACCCGAGTCAGGAGTGGGCTTAGGCAGCTTCACAGCCAGGAAAGTCTTTCTGGCTCTGACCTCCAAGGCCCCCGGTGTCCCTACAGTCCCGGATGCCTGGCCCCTGAGCCTCAGAAATGTCCGTTGTGCTGCCTTGGGCTGGGCCCCTGCGATGATGCTGGAGGTGGGGAGTGACTGGGATAGTCAGCCTGGGGCCTGCAGACCACCAGGGTGTGGCCAGCTCGAGACTGGGCCCAGCAGGCATTGCTTCCCAGCCCGGCCCCATTGGCCTGTGCTCACCCATCACATCCTGGGTGCAAACGCTGGCCTGGTATACAGCAGGCACTCAATGCAGGCTGAAGAACAACCAGGCCTGGTGAAGGGAACTACCCTTCCATCCCCGCTCTGGCTCTCCTCCAGAAACAGCTGGTCAGTGACCCTTGTCCTCAGACTGCCTCACCCCATGCTGGACGGTAGTGTCCTGGGAGTGACGGTCAGATCCACGTTCAAATGTCCCCTCTGTCCCTGACCAGGTGACTCGGGGCCACTGTCTCCTAGCCCCTATGGGTGCAGCACCACTTGTGGAAGTCTCACGAGAGCCGCAGGTGTCAGCGGAAATCTTCTAGTAGCCACATTCAGAAAAGTGAAAATAACTTTGGTGACTTTTGTTTTTTGAGACAGTTTCACATTGCACTGCCCGGGCTGGAGTGCCGTGGCGCGATCTTGGCTCACCACAACCTCCGCCTTCCAGGTTCAAGCAATTCTCCTGCCTCAGCCTCCCGAGTAGCTGGGATTACAGGCGCACGCCACCACGCCCAGCTAATTTTGTATTTTTAGTAGAGGTGGGGTTTCACCATATTGGTCAGGCTGGTCTCAAATTCCCGACTTCAAGTGATCCACCCGACTCAGCCTCCCAAAGTGTTGGAATTACAGGCGTGAGCCACTGTGCCCAGCTATGGAACTTAATTTTGATAGTATATTTTATTTAGCCAACATATCGAAAATCTTACCATCTTACTATGTAATCAGTGGAAGAGTTATTCAGGAGATACTGTCCTTGCTTTTGGGGTTTGAGTCTTCAAAATCCATGTGTCTCTTACACCTACGACGGCACAGCTCGGTTGGCACACACCGTATTGCAAACGCTTCCCTGCCAGAGTGGTCTGGGGCCACCAGAATGAACAGCACAGCCCTCGAGGCTTTGTCCTTGCTGGGGGTTGGGGGGGGTCACTGGGCCCAGACTGCAAAGCCCCGCAGGGCCGCAGATGCACTTGGCCTGAGAGCCACCCTCTGTCCCCACTGCCCCTGGCCTCTCAGACACCCCAACACGGGTCCTTGGTCCCTCAGACTGTCCAGCAGCCGACAGCCCTTGCTGAGCCCCTGCCGTGTGCAGCCCAGAAGACACTCCCCATGCAGAGCTCACCCCTGGCGACAGCTGTGCTGGTGTCCCGGGCCACTCACGTGAGCATGGATTAGGGGCAGTCCCTATGCCTGGTCATGTCTGAGGCCGGCACATGATGGGCAGGACTCAGTGTTCCCTGGCAGCTTGAGGGTGGGGCTGGGGGGCCTGAGATCACACAGCCACTGCCCCAGGCACAGGCCAGTGATCTCGGAGGACTCTGGCTTCCAGCGGGGGTGGCAAAGTGCTTGGAAGGAAACGACCCACAGAGGGAAGGCTCTCACCTGCTCAGAACTCCTATGCCTCCTGGGCCCTCCGGAGCTTCACTGGTGCTCCAGCCCTGCCCCACCCTCCAGCCTCTGCTGTCAGCCCTGGAAGTTCTTGTCACTCCTGATAAATGTTCTTGGTTTTCTGGCTCCAGGGCCTCAGCACACGCTGTTCCACCCACCTGGTGCCCCCCTTCCCTTCGCTCACCTCCAGGCTGGCCTGGGTCACCTCCTCTGGGAAGTCCTTGCTGACAACCCCGATTTGATGATGGCACCTGTTAGAAACTGCCTTGGGTCTGGGATCGGTGGCTCACACCCATAATCCCAGCACTTTGGGAGGCCGAGGCGGGCAGTTCACAAGGTCAAGAGATAGAAACCAGCCTGGCCAACATGGTGAAACCCCGTCTCTACTAAAAATACAAAAATTAGCTGGGCATGGAGGCGTGCACCTGTAGTCCCAGCTACTCAGGAGGTTGAGGCAGGAGAATCGCTTGAACTGAGGAGGCAGAGGTTGCAGTGAGCCGAGATGGCGCCACTGCAGTCCAGTCTAGGTGAGACTCCATCTCANAAAAAAAAAAAAAAAAAAAAAAGAAACTCCCTGCCTTGGTTGGTTTCCAACAGACTTTCCTGGGATACGAGGTTCTCCTGACACGCCGCTCCTTTGTTCTGCCCCCACCGTGGCAGAAGACTGCTCAGCTGGGGACAGCCACCTCTAAGCTCACTTCCAATCAACAGGAGAGGTAAGTTAGGGGCCTGGGTGAGCCACAAGCCTCTCTCGACACATGAGGCTCGGGAGGCCTGCAGGCATGAGGGAGAACCCAACAGTGGAGGGGGACTTAGTGGGAGCCTTGACCCTCTGAGGGGAGCGGAGTGACTGGCACCCCGGGCCCAGGGCAGAGCGGCACAGGTCAGAAGAAACACGTCTAATGGGTGGAAGCCAGCACATCATCCCCAACGCACACAAGCACCCACACCAGGTGATGGAAAAGGGACTGGAATTTGCACAGGGAGTTGATTTGCCCTTTTGAGGGTGCCCTTTCAGCCCTCTAGATTTAGGCACAGCCCAAGGTCAAGGCCTGAAAGGGGCTGTCCCACCCACGCAGGCCAGTTCCCCTCTCAGAGCCAATCATTAATTGGCACCGCTTGAGTGGCTGTTCCCACGGGTGTCCTGGCAGCCTGCCAGCCTGTGGCCCAGCTCCCAGCCCATGCCAGGGCACCCAGCTGGCCTTGCACATGGCTGGCCTCCCTGATCAGACCCGCCTCCTGCTCATGACTCCCCACAGCTGAGCCCTGGAAGAGGAACGGGGCCTGGCGTGCTTGGGGAGGAGGAGCCAGATACGCCTGAAGCTCTGGTTTTCAGAAGGGATGCGGGGAACAGGGGTGAACATGGGAGGCAGCCACTCACACTCCAGTCTAAGAGGTTAACATTATCCTGAGGCCATAGGGAGCTATTGAAGGTTTTGCAGGAAGAGCTTCTGTTCAACTCAGCAACCAGGGCTGGTGTGGGCAGGAGGCAGTGACAGCTGTCAGGGGACGGCCAGAGAGGCAGGCCCTGCCGCAGCATGGGGCAGAGCCCTGGGGTGTGCAGGTCAATGACACCAGGTTTCTGCTGAGATAACTGGCCGGGTGAGGCTGGGGACGGGAGAGTCAAGTAACAGGTGCTGAGCATGCCGGGCCAGGGGTTCGCACAGGTCAAGGGGAATGGAAGCTGCGGGCAGGAGTGAGGCCGTAGCTGAGAGGCCAGACACTCATGCCGCTAAGGGGGCCAAGGGGCCGAGGTGCACCTGGAGGAGCCGGCACTGCCCAGCTGGGACTGGGCAGAGAAGGGACAGCCAGAGGGATGGGAGGAAGCACAGGCTGTAAGCCGGGGCCCAGAAGCCAGGGAAGATGGGGGACTGTCGGCACCAGGAAGGTCACCAGGGCCCAGGTCAAGAGCAGGGGGGTGATCAAGGGTGTGAGATGAAGATAGTGGATGTGGATTTGCCTCCTAGACGCTCAGGAATGTAAGGGGGTGTCTTAGGCAGGCTCCATAGCAGCAGAGCCTGAGACGGGATGCAGTGCGCCCAGGATCGAGGGACAGAACAGGACATACAGCTAAGCAGGACACCAGTCACATGGCCGCAGCCTGATCCCAGGCGAGCTCGGGGACCCCACAGAGACACCCAGGGTGTCCCCCATGTCCCTCACCCCGTGTCTCATGCTCCCAAATAAAGTCCAAGCTCCCAGCCCTCCATGGAGGCACAGTGCATTTCCATGTCTGCCCCCTCCCAGTGAGGAAAGGCGGCGAGGATTAGGAGGAACGGCCAGGGACACCTGACCTCAGTTCCACCACGACTCCCCGGGGGCTCAGCTGGGAGGCAGGGGCACTCACAGCTGCCTCCGAGCCTGAGAGCTCATCGAGGAGGGGCCGGGCAGGCAGATGGGCCCTGGCACGAGTGAGCACCCATGCCAACACCCTCCCCACCGGCTGGATGGGCAGCCCCGCCTGCCACAGCTGGCACCTGCAGGGAGGAAGCTGCACTTGGGTGGTGGGGCCCCAGGGAGCGGGTGGTGCCACCCTCCTCGATGTGCCAGGCGCCACCCACGGGCTGCTCACCACAAAGGAGCCCCCGGGGGCGTTCCCCTGTGCCACCCCCAGCCCCACACCAGCGTTCCAAGCCCTGCAGAACCTAGCTCTGGCCTGTGTCCCGGCAGCTGCAGCTCTGCTCAGCTCCAGGATCAGAAGGACAAGTTATGCCCATGGGCTGGGCACCCTGCAAGCCTGGCACTGTGCCTGAGTCATCCCCCTTCTCTGCCCCTCACCACAGCCTGGGGGCCAGGGCATATCACTAGCTCCACTCTCAGGCACACCACACAGTTTATTGAGCACGTAGGAGAGCTTCAGGGACCCAGGCGAGGGCCAACTGGCTCAAAGCTCACGTCACCTGTGGGAGAGCCGAGGCCTTGAGCAAACCCAAGTGATGAGCTCAAGGTCACACAGCTGGATTCAAACCCAGGTCAGCCTCCAAAGATCACTTTTTCTTTTTTTGAGACAGAGTCTTGCTCTGTCACCCACGCTGGAGCGCAGTGGCGCGATCTTGGCTCACTGCAACCTCCTTCTGCCTCAGGTTCAAGCAGTTCTCGGGCCTCAGCCTCCCAAGTAGCTGGGATTACAGGCGCCCATCACCATGCCCAGCTAATTTTTTGTATTTTTCATAGAGGTGGTATTTCACCGTGTTGGCGAGGCTGGTCTTGAACTCCTGACCTGACAGGTGATCCACCTGCCTCGGCCTCCCAAAGTGTTGGGATTACAGGTGTGAGCCACCACATCTAGCCCTAAAATCACTTTTTAAAGCCCCTCTCTGGGTCTCAGTCTCCTTGCCTGTAAAATGGGCATGATGAAGCCTTACTCCCAAGGCTGTGAGGACAGGGACGGGTTGTGGCCTCAGGCACTGTGCACAGTCAGCAGGGATCTTGCCAGCCCACCTGGCAGGTTTTGGTGTTTGCCTGGTGTCCATTAAACCAGAGGCCCACCCTCTCCACAGCCCAGACTCCTCGTCCGAATCCCCGCCCACCTGCCCTGCCTTCCGACCTCGGATTCCCTGTGCTGCGTGTGTTGTGCATGCTGAAGCATCCTGCACAGCTCACATGGCTCTCTCTACCTGGAAGCCCCTCCACTCTTGGAATCCACAGCATTCATCCCGTCCTTCTTGTGCCCCGACTACCTACCCCATGCAGGAAGTGTCACTATTCCCCACTCTCCAGATACAGGAACAGAGATGTCGCCAGAAGAGGCAAAGTGCCTCTCTCTACACAGCTTCTAGACATCGGCAGAGTGGGCCCCAGCCACTGCATGCCACCGCCAGCACCGCCACGCCACCAGCCTGCGGGCCCACATCTACGTCCCGACGATGTCCCCCCGCCCCAAGCAAGGACCCGCATCTGCACACACAGCCTGGCTCCATCGAGGCCTCCCCTGTCTCAGACACGGTGGTGCCCCGTAGGGAAGCCAAAGAAGTCGCCAGCAGGAGGCTGGCATCAGTGGGCGGCCTGGCCCCCTGCCCTGGCCGTGATGGCTTGGCCCCTTGAGCCCAGAGGCGCCCTTACCTACTCGGAGCTCTTGCCCGAAGACGGTCTTCTCGCCAAGGGCAGAGCAGTTCCAGCGTCCGAAGCGGAACTGGTACTGGCACTCATTGATGCCCATCTGCGCCCCCTCCCCGATCACAATGATGGCATCGGGTCGGCTCTGGCAGATGGCACGCTGCCGCGGGGCGAGGCCAGGAATCTTGTTGCAGATGATGTTGGCTCCCAGGGCCACCACGGATGACAGTGCTCTGTGGAGGGGAAGAGACAGAGGCCGTGAGATGGTGGTGGCCAGCACCCCTCCTCGCACCCCCACCTTTCCCGAGCCCTGCACTAGCTCCGCCCACCAGGGCACGAGCAGATCCCTACCCTCAGGGGGCATTTCCCATCAGCTCCCACGAGGGACCCCTGGCAACCACACGTCTCCCCAGCTCTCACAGGACCCCCGGCGACCACACATGTCACCCCAACTCACGTGGGACCCACACACCCCAGGCCTCTGAGCCTCAGAATGTGAGAATCACGCAATCACAAGTCCCATGGCTCTCCAGGCTGCTGAATCAGATACGCAGCCCCTTCCAATTACAGAGAACTTGGGATGTGGCAGCCACCAACTCTGGACTGTCTGCAGCTGCCTCCAAGCAGCAGACCCCAACTCCAAGACCACCGGGGTTTTCCCCCCATTTATAAATACCCTGATGGCCCCTCCATGGCAAATGGGCCAGGCAGGCCTCTGAGCAGGCTGGCAGCCAAGCCCACCCGGTACCAACTCCAGCTCCGGCCTACCTTGAGAGCCTCAGTTTCCACACCCATGAAATGGGGGTATAAAACACCCATCCCCCCACCCCCCCACAGGCTCAGATGACCACAGGGAGAAGGGCCGCACCGTGAATTCTCTCCTGTCGGGGTGACTGGGTGCGCGCAGAGGAAGAAATCAGGCCTGCAACAAATTGAGCACCTACTGTGTGCTGGGCTCGGCAGGGGCCTTATTGCAATACTGCAGCCTCGCAGTGGTCCCCTGAGGAGGCCTTTGTCATTAATCTCCTGGCAGCTCTCAGAACCTGAAGCCCTAGACAGGAAGCCACAGGCCACGTTCACTCTACTGGAAGTGTTATCAGTGGGATTGTTTTTTGTTTGTTTTTAGTGTTTTGAGACAGTCTCGGAGTCTCGCTTTGTCGCCCAGCTGGAGTACAGTGGTGCGATCTCCGCTCCCTGCAACCCCACATCGCGGGTTCAAGACATCCTCTTGCCTCAGCCTCCCCAGTAGCTGGACTACACCCGGCTAATTTTTGTATTTTTAGTAGAGACAGGGTTTCAACCATGTTGGCCAGGCTGGTCTCAAACTCCTGACCTCAGGGGATCCGCCCGCCTCGGCCTCCCAAAGTGCTGGGATTACAGGTGTGAGCCATTGCGCCCGGCTTTATGTGTTTATTTAATGAGGTGAAATTCCCATAACGTAAAATGGACCATTTTGAAGTGTAGGGTTCTGTGGCATTTAATACATTCGGTGTTGTGCAACCTCCACCACCATCAGGTTCCCAGATATTTCCGCCACCCCAAGAGGAAATTGTACCCAGCAGTCCCTCCCCGTCCTCCCCTCCCCGACCCCGGCAACCACCAGTCTGCTTTCTGTTCCCATGGATTTTCCTATCGATGGAATCATTCATTATGTGACCTTTGGGGTCTGGCTCCTTTCGCTTAGCGTCATGTTTTAAAGGGTCATCCACGTGGTAACATGTCAGTGCTTTATTTCTCTGTGAGGTTGAGTGATGGTCCACTGCGTGGCTAGACCACGTTTTGTGTATTCATTCATGGCTGGTGGACACTTGGGCTGTTTCCACCTCGGGACTATTGTGAGTCATGCTGCCATGAACATGAGGGTGCAGGTTTTGGTTTGAGCCTCTGTTTTCAGCCTCTGGGGCATGGACCCAGGAGTTGCTGGGTCGGGTGGTCCCTTCGCTTTGGACTTGCCGGACCGCCCTCCACCGAAGCCGCACCAGTCATCTGGCTTTACGCATCCACAAAGGGACGGTGAGCTGAAAGGCGGGTGGCTGGTTTCAGGCAGACCTGCAGGCAACTGTTGGGTTTCAGCACAGCGCTGGGCTTCAAAACAACAGATCAGGCCTGTTTAGTGAGGGAGCAAGATGTGGGAGTTGGGGGGACCACCAGGGGCTCCCTGAAGTTGATGCCCATGGCCCTGGGTGCCTAGTGTGCTAGGGACCCTTCTTCTACCTACTGCCCGCTTGCCCTTTTCTTGAAAGAAACAAGTCAGTGATTTTCCAGGGTGGCTGACACCCACAGCCAGCTGGAAAGTCCCCGGGTGGCCTGACAGCACGTGCTGCAGCGGGGCGACACTCAATCCCTGAGACCCGCCCGGCCTCCCCGCTAATCTGGCCAAGGCCTCCCTGGGTCTCCCACGGGCACAATGGGCAGAAAAGCCCCAGGCTGGCATTGAGGAAGAGCATCTGGATGGGTGGGGCTGTGATCAGGTTGGAATTCGGGGAATTCCGCCCAAAGTAATTGTAGATCCTCGGAAAACCGAGCTGGGGAAATGAGACGGATGGGAACCCTGCCAGGCACCCGGCTTGGCGTGGGGTAGAGCCTGCCTCAGTCCTGGCCTGAGGGATACTCTCCAGGCCCAAATTCTCCCAGCGGGCTCAGGGCTGAATAGCCCCCATTACCTGGAGTAGGTGCCTTTGCTGGGGGGACCCTGATGGGACTTAGTATGAGCCCCGGGGGCAGCAACGGATCATCTCGATGGCCAAAGCCCTGGCCTCCTGCCTCCAGGCAGCTGTCCACCACTGGCCCTGCCAGCACCCAGATCTGACCATGTCAATCCTCTGCTCAAAGCTCGTCCATAGCTCCCCATTGCCCAGGGGACTATCCAGGCCCCTGTGCCTGGAACCAGAGGCCTCTTGGGATCTGGTCTCGGATGACCCCACCTCCCAGCTGTGTCTGCTGGGCCTTCTCCTGGGTGCTGCCCCTTCTCCATTTTTCTGTCTGACATATTCCATTTCCCTTTCAGGACCCCAGTGAAAGCCCCCTGGGCTCAAACTCCCTATTCCCTGGCACCGAGAAGCACGGTGGGTGCTGGTTTTGCTGGGTAGACTCATCCTGCAGTCTCACAGTCACTGTTCTGTGCCCGGCTTCCCCCTCAGGCGGCAGCCCCTCCAGGACAGTGTGGAGTCTACGCTCAGTCAGGACTCAGGGCTGCCTGGTGTGGTCATCCTGAGTGTTTGTGGAATAGATCAATGAATACATGAACAAGTCAGCATTTAAGAACCACCTGTGAAAGAACTCAACCCAATGAAAAGGAAAACAGCCCAGTAAGGAGCAAAGCGCTCTACACACTTCTCGGAAGAAGCTCTTGAAAAGATGCTCAACCTCCGGAATCACCGGGGAAGTGCAAACCAAAGCCAAAGTGAGATACCGCCTCACACCCACCAGGAGGGCGAGGCTGTCAAAAAAGAAGGAAAGAAAACAACAAGTGTTGCTAAGGGTGCGGAGAAACGGAAACCCTCACGCCTCGACGGCAGGAGCAGAAAACGGTGCGGCCACGGTGGCCGACAGGTTGGCAGCTCCTCAGCAAGTTAAACCTGGCATTACCCAACGATTCCACCCCTTGGTACATATTCACATGAATGGAAGACAGGTGCTTAGACTAAAATTTGTACACAAATGTTCACAGTAGCACTATTCACAATAGCCAAAGGGTGAGACAAACTCAAACGTCCAACAGCTGAGTGGGTAAAGCACGTGTGGTCCATCTACACGATGGAATATTACGTGGCCACAAAAGGGAATGAAGCACTGAGTTATGCTGCAGTGTGGGGGAACCTCAACAGCACGGTGTGAAGTGAAGGAAGCTAGACCCCAAAACCACATACTGTGTGGATAGGAAATTTCCAGACTAGGCAAATCCGTGGAGACAGAAAGTAGAAAGGGCTGGGAGGAGGAATGGGAAGTGGCTGGTAATGGGTGTGGAATTTCCATCTCGGGTGATGGAAAGTTCTGGAACTGGGGTCGTGGTTGCATCATGTTGTGAATGGACGAAATGCCACTGACTTGTTCACTTTAAAGTGGTAAATTTTATTTTATGTATTTTAACCACGATTTCAAAAAACTCTATCTACACACAGGACTCACACTCAGTGAAGATTAGGACCCAGCTAAAGGGGATGCTGGAGGCCCCCCCATAACGCCCTGCTTGCTCTCCTGCACACTTACCGGGATGTGTGGGACTGACGGGGCGGGAACTAGAACCCCCAGCAGCCCCCTCTGTGCCCGTGCACAGGTTAAAGAGGAAGGAAGGGCATCAGGGAATAGAATCTAGGCTCTTGCACTGTATTTTCTGCCAGAAGTATAAATAATCAGATGTGGTTGGTAATTCAGAAATAATTTCAAAACTGTCTCCCTTACTCAGTGGTGGTGTTTGGGTTTCCACTAATGATACCAAATGGTTCCATCCTGAGGGTCAACATTGGGCCACCTCACCTGTGCATCATTTAACCCTCACCTTGTTAGGTGAGTGGTGCCGTCTCCATTCTGCAGGTGTGCAGACTGGAGCTCCCAGAGGCCAAGGAACCTGCCGGGGGCTGCACAGCCAGGCTCGGAGCCCCGACTCTGAGTCCAGAACTCAGGCAGAAGAAGGAGTGCCACATGGTAAGTGTGCAGCGCACGCTAGAACAGGGCCTGGGGGGGACACTGTGTCGGCTTTTTATTCTCAAAACAGCTTAAGTTCTTCCTCTGCTTAAAATCCTTCAGGCCGCGCATCCACTGACTCCAGGTGCACAGGCGGCTCCCGTGCAGCTGCCATCCCTGCCCTCCCACTGCTGCCCTGGGCACTGTCAGCTCTGACCCCTGCCCTCCCCGAGTCGGCCTGGCCCATGCCATTCCTTCTACCTGGAGGGGAGGGGGCTGGAAATGGGAGTGACTGGCCTTCCTTAGGGCACGGTGGGTGTGAGAAGTGGGCTCAAAATATCTCCCAGCTAAATGGTGACTTGGAGGAGGCCATAGAGCCACACAGGTAGCGTGCTGGGGCCACTGGGGAGTGCGGGCCGGCGTGGGCACCCTCAGCAAGGCCTGTGGGTGGACTTAGCTTCACTCCAAGTGTGCCAACTCGCAGTGCTGGCTTCCCAGTCCTCGGCTGCTTGCCTGGGTGCCCGGGGAGGTTGGCCAGGGAGGCTCTGAGTGACAATGAGTGCAGCGATTCTGGGAGGGGACGTTCACGTTTCAGTCGCTGACTGTTTCC